GTCAAATATTATGTCAGTCAGGATGGTAATGGTAAAACTCAAGGATTACCTTGCACCTTCTCAGAAATTTACCATTGATCATATGTATTACAAGTGGCTGGATTGTTTTTAATACAAGCAACGTTTTTTTAAATCATTATCTTAAAGAGATTAAGGCTCATTTTGGACTACACTTACATTACTTTACAACTGCTTAATGCAGTACTGATGTATCTAGTAGTTTAGTGGGTTTAACTAATGTTACATCTGTTTTTATTCATTTCAGATGCAGAAACCTTTGACATATGAATTCATCTTGACTAAGGGTAAGGTTTTTGTTCAGAATTAATCATTATTTAAAATCATTGTATTTTCTTTGTTATTATGTACAGATTTTAAAAGAATGTTCTTTCTTTTAATAAAGAACTCTTCACAGCACTGCACCTGAACAGTCACAACCTCACAGAGCTGCACAACTGCCCCACTCAGATCAGTGTTGAAGCTGGAACCTCATCTTGTGTACAGCAAAGGCAGAGCTGAAAATTCACTGTTTGTCTTGTATTGTGTGGTAAGTCATAGTTTTATTATTTTTTTTAATTTTATTGCAACACTAAGTAGTCCATTCTGTGGCCAATATGATATAAAGGGCCTAACATGGGACTGACGTGATCATTGTTTTGATTTCTAGATAAGTACTCATGGGGCTACACATGCAGCTGAAGTTAGCTTCATTGAGTAGGACATTTCTTTCAGTATACTCTTAAAGAGATTCACCCAAAAAGGAAAATTCTGTCATTAATGACTCAAACTTCACTTGTTCCAAATTTGTCTGACTTGCTTTCTTCAGTTAAACACAAAAAATTATATTTTAAAGAAAGATGAAAACCTGCAAACATTAACTTCCATAGTATTTGTTTTTTCCTACTATGTATGTCAATGTTTTCAGCTTTTCAGCTTTCTTCAAAAAACTTCCTTCATGTTCAACACAAAGTAACTTGGAAGTTTTTAAAAAAGGTTTACAACCACTTAAAGGAGAGTAAATAGTGAACTATTCATTTAACCCTATCTAGTTGACTTTACTAGAAAATTGTATAGAAACCCAGTGGCTTAAACCCCTTACATTTTATACAAGGTACAACTTAACAGCCATACTTGAACTAAAATATTACTGTAAGTTCAAGAAGATTGTAAAGGTTCTAGGTTAATTTAAAGTGGGCTGTTTAGTTTCGCCTTGTGTAAAAACATAAAGGGTTTAAGGCAACATGTTTCTATGCAGTTTACACTCTTAACCCAAACTAGGTGACTTTATTAGAATAAAGTCAACTAGTTTGGGTTAAGAGTGTAATGGTTTACAGTAATAGCAGTGAATAATGCAGGCATAAAATAAATGTTTAGCCATGTAAAGCAATAAGCTTGTTATAATTTAGAAATATTTTTAGGGTGGAGCACTGTATGCTGTTGTAGTTTTCATATAATTGATGAGTCAAACATGAGATGTGTTTTAAATTGCAAGACGTGAATTAACAATATGTTCATCAAGATTCAAATCTTGCATCTTATATTTTTTTAAGGTTTTGGCCCAATAATACCCATATTCTGCTATTTAAAAAAAAACTTGCTGGAATTTGTGTCAGCATTCCCTTCAATGAAAACTACAGCAGTGAACATCAGTGGTGATAAAAATGTATGAGAAGGATAAGGGTGTTCATAATGAGAAGAGCAGTCACTATCCTGATCTCTGAGTTTGTAGAACTGACAGATCTGCTTGGAATAAATGGAAACATGCTGGAAATGTTTAACCTATTATACAGTTAATTCAAGAGTGCCAGGTTTAATGACACTTTACATATATAAATAAATATCACTGAACTTTCTAAATGAAACCTAACACTCATTCTTTGTTCAGTAATGATATTGTGCACTTCTAATACTTTACAGTGGCAAAACCTGGAATAACACATGGGAGCCCTCCAGGAATTCCTGACACTTTACGCCCAAGTCTCCTCATGCTAACCGGATTGCAATATGACAGTCTAGTCAGCATAAACACCTGGACTCGCCAAGCACACTTTGGTTCTCAGTGTTTTGTAAAAATTGTTTTTGCTATTCTTCAGTAAATACTTGAATATGTTTTGAACTTATTCTACTTTTGATGTTTAAGTTCAGAAAGTTGTTTTTATAAACATAATTTGCATTTATCATGAACTTGACTTCTTGTTGTTGTGAAAGCTGTTTATTATAATGGCATTTCCAAAGGCATCATTTGAAAAGATTTTTTGCAGTGCAGTTTTACTTGAGCTTGACATACCAGATGTATGACATGAATAAATATCACAAAATAAATATAATAATAATAATACAAAATATACATTTCCTTCAATTATAATTGTTTTTAATCATTTATATATGTATGGTAATATATTATTGCAATAAAAACTGTTATAAAATATATATTTTTGGTTTTTGCATTTTTGCGTGATTTTTATTATTTATTTTATTTGTGGCATTATAAATAAATGATAAATGTTTCATTAAAAATGTATTGTGTTTATTTGCATACTCATTTACAATGAACTACTATTTTTACTATTTAATGGGCACTATATTTGTCATTTAAGTTTGACATATATTTATATTTGTATACCTACATGATGCAGGGTTGTTACAGGAAATGCTGGAAATGTTTTCAAACATGAAGCTTTTTATTATTTTATTATTCGTTTCAAATTTAGTATACTGCCTATGATCTGGTTTTACTATGATCATTTTGCACATCAGGTTACCCCCACAAAGGAATCTCACGGTAAATATACATTTGTATTTTTAATAAGACAATAAATAACATGTAATATTAATACACATTTTGATATTTAAGTTATATTATAAGGTTATTATAATCTACTTTCAACCGGAAGATTACCAAATAGAGACAAAGTGTGACGTAGATTGCGACGTTGTGATTGGACTATAACTTCAAAGCCAAATTAAAAGATCCTTCGTGTTGCTAACTATGTTTTGCTAACTTTGACACTTTACTAACAGTGTCCTTTATCAATGAGTTATCGCTGTGTTTCAAATAGTTACCGATTAACCAAGATCGTAACCCTAAACTTAACCCTAACTACACCTTTCAATGAACTACAATTTGTAGCGCCATGTCTTTCCCCTCCCATCTATACAGCGACAAAGGATTGTGGGTAATGTAGTTTAAAGCCTTTTTGTAATAAAATGGAACAAATACAATTTTTAATGAACTTAAGACTATCTAAATAAGGTCATTGTGCATATATTTATGACATATATGAAAGCCAGGCATAAATTTGTTATTTTACAATGAGTATTTTTTTAAACAGCTTTTATTGACTTGATTAGTATATATCAGACTATTATATCCAATATTATTTATTGAACATAGCATAGGTAATAGTCTTGCTGATATTCTCTCACTCATTTCTCGTTTGAAATGTGAATACTTTTTCCTTTTCTACGGGGCTCTACTCATCCCCTTTGAGTAAAAGGGCAGTTAACCTATGTAGATGTATTATCTTCAACATGGACAAGAAATAGTATTGTCACATGTACAGTTGTGGTAAAAAAAAAAAAAAAAAAGCTGTAAAAATAAGCTAAACATTAGTATCCTCTTTAATCACAAGTTATTAACAATAGTGATCTATGTTCATCACAAATATTATGAGTTCAGAATAATATGTGTGGATGTAATTCTGAAAGTGTGTTTCATTAATGGTCATCATGTGATATTTAATTGTTTTCACTTTATTTGAAATATGAATAAAAGCTCTTTTAAAATATGAAAATGTTTATTAATAAAACCTTTTTAAAGACATGTATTTGTTTAAAAAACACTCTTTATCTGATTATTTTTACTTTCTAAATCTTCAACTGTTTGTGTAACAGTATGTTTTGATGACAATGGATGAACTTGTGTTTAATAATGATTCCAGATAATGTCTTTGTCCTCCATGTGGGTTAATTTGTTAATTATTTTCTTTATGATCAAATGATTGTAAGATTTGCTGCATTGTAAGAATCATGAAAATATTTAGAAATGAGGTGACAATGACGAAAAGATACCTTTTCAAATGCTGCGAATAGTTCAAACCTCCAAATGGTTAAAAATACATAGTCAATAACCAATAAAATAAAAATGCAAACATTTAAATTATCTAAACTAGAAGTAAAATAGTTCTGTGCTGTATTTATAAGTTAATGTGTAGTTCTATGTCTACCAAAAATACATATTTTATTTTCATTCATTCATTTTCTTTTTGGCTTAGTCCCTTTATTAACCAGGGGTCGCCACAGCTCTATGAACCGCCAACTTTTCCAGCATGTTTTTATGCAGCAGATGCTCTTCCAGCCGCAATCCATCTCTTGGAAAATGTTTTATTATATTTTTTATCTTGCATTCAATAAAACATTATACAAAGTTAATTTTTATTTTCAGAATAACAACAGTGGCACTGTTGTCTCACAAGTGCAGCAGTTTTTTGTTAGACATCCTAACAAATGAATACAAATGTTTCAAAGTAAAGACAAAAATAAAAGAATATATATATATATATATATTTTTTTTTTAGAAAAATCCATGAGGACCAAATGGATCCCTCAGATCTTTGATGTAAATCATAGGTTAATTTTTCCAGAGGTAGAAGTCTGGTTGCCTGACTCAGCCACATATTGACTGGAGGTATCTGAGCAGTTGACCATAATAATGTACATTTTTTGGCCAAGTATATGCAAAAATTTAATTTATCATAAAAATGTATAATAAAATTAATATTTTAAAAGCTCTTAATGTCATTTAATGTAATAATTTTATTTTAATATAGAGTTCCTTAAATCGTTATATGTTGTAAGCAGTTAGGCATACAATAATGCTCTTAATTTACAACACTGATTGATTTTAGAGGAATGCTTACATACTGTACATATCTATGTATTTAAAAAAAAAAAAGAGACAACAATTTAGTTATAGATGATAAAAATTTTATTATTTTTTTTTTTTACAGATTTTGTTACATGCTTTAGATTCAGGGTTAAGGTCATCCTCTTCTGGATTACAGTAAAAGAAAATCCACAGTCAATGTCATACTTAGCAGCTGGAGCTTTATTTAAAAAAATCTATGTTCTCTGCTCCAGCCAAAACTTGCAGGTACCTTGCAGGTCTCTAGATTGCACCATCGTATTGTTGTTTATTTCTCAGTTATTTTGTTGCTTTCTGAGAATGATGATCCATAGACCTTTTAACCGCTCTTTGTTTAGGCCAATCAAATCGAATCTTAATAGAAGAACACAACAACATAAAAATATATTAATATCCTTTGGACTGGGTAACATTATGCTTAAGTTTGAGCCAAATAATACAAATACATACAGTATTTTTCAGTAGCAAACAAGCAGGAAAGTTCTTTGAAGGAACCAGGATGAGTTGAAAGGTATTTATAGTGGTTGGCCATCTCTGCCACAAGAATCCTCTGCTTCTCCTAAAGAATCTTGACCAGCAGGATGATGTTGAACACCCTCCTCTTTGTTGCTGGATCGACAGAGTCTAAAATATATTTATGAAAAGAAAGTTGTATAACAAGGATTATACGTCAACTTTTAAAGAATCAACACTGACAGAAGTCTAGTGTACATACCATGCCATATGACGAAGACATCCATATCACTTCTGTTTTTTGTTGTCTTTGCTTCTGCTACTGAAAAAATGACAATTATAGTAACAGTTACAATTTTTCATGACTACATGTAATATTAATAATAATTTCCTCACCGTCTGCCCACTCCTCTACATCACAGACCAAAGTCTTCCAATTGGTTTCCAGTCACTGCCAGTTTCATGGATTCTGTTTTGCAACTTGCTTTGCAGAGCTGTTACAGTCTACAGTGATAAGCAATCAAAAATCACAATACTATTTAAATAGGTTACTGAACAACTAAAACAAATTCTACTGGATATTGTTACCTTCTGATATCAATAGGTCAGCGAGATGGCCAAATTGTTGAATATGTGCTAATTCCAGCACATGACCATGAGAGTTACAGTAGCATGTCTGGTCACTGCAATCCTATAGAAGAAATATTGCACTGTTCAACCTCCTTCCCAAGAGTAAAACCAGGCATATCCTGGTATGCCTCACTCCATTTCACCTGGTTAACATATACAAAAAAACAAACAAACAAACAAACAAATAAGTAAACCAGTAAGTTTTGGCATTTACCTGTAGATCAGTTTAAGACAATCATATAGTTCATCTATCTCAGATATAAACTCATGTGCTTAGGCATGAAACACACTAAAATCATGGGCTTAAAGATGGTGCTGAAACTTTGGACAGCTTTTTGCAACTCTTTGGAGGTAGTGTCATTAGTTGATGTAGTCCACAAATCTTCCTGTCAATCCTTAATCCTTAGCTGTAAATAAACCTTCAAAAATGCCAGTGTTTGAAAAAGGAATGAAACAGTACAGAACAAGTGCATAACAGTTTACATCTTCTAATCTAATTTTCTTAGGTGAACATCAAAGAGCTGTTTTCTTGTTAATTTAGTTTCAACACATACGGTTTAAAGTACCTTGTGCATTCTTGAAATGGTTATGCTTATAGTTCACATCTACTTAAATTGGGAGTATATCTGGTGTGGAAGCAGGAGAGATGAAGGACTCTTCCTTGCAAATACTATCCACCTTGTATTGCACAGACTCACACTCAAGAATATCTCAGAAAAATGTCTGCTGAGATCTTAGCAGTCCATTAAAAATAATTATACCAACATCTTTTACACCAATGGAAAGAATATAAAAATATTTTAGGATATATTAATACTTGCATGACCAAATCTGAGATAAAAAGGCCATCAGTATGCCTTAGTTTAAATAAAAACTAAATTTGACTCTAGTCCACTGTCACCTGGGTCTACAGATACAGGGACTAATGGAAACAATGAAGTACACACTGACAGTCACTGGAGCAAGGCTTTCTCACAGTTGGGAAGATTGGAGTTCCTATGAGCTGTACCAGATAAAAACAACAAAAAATTTACATTTAAAACATTTCTAACTTATCCTAAGACTAGTTGACAAGCAGCATAAGCAGTTCTAATTTCCTAAACCCCAATGTGGACAGTTGATGGCCTATAAGGTGTCATAAAATTAGACAAAACAAAATACTTTCTGAAAAAGAAAAAAATGGTTGGCCACTATCAACACCCAGAACAAATAGTTTTAAACAGTTAGGCCACAATATTTTGTGAGCTTATGCTGTAGTTTTTTTAATGTTTTTTCATAAACGATAGTAATAGTAAAACTAATGCATCTCTTTCTGTTATTACCATAGTAGTGAAAGAATAAATGCATTTTATCTCATACAATCACATATGCCTAAACAATGTAGATATTTGATATACATGGAATGAAAAACTTCACTAACCCTTGACTGATACCAGAGTGGTCTTGGCCTTCCTTACATGGTGGTGCTTTCTGCAGATCACCAAGTTGTCATCAAGACTTGAGGTTATAATTGAGATCTTGATGAAAAATCTGAGTATAAAGGAATCACTCATGGTGATAGGCAGAAACAGGCTGAAAGACACAAGATTTAATCAAACAAATACAAATGTGTTAACAGAGATAGAGAGAGAGACAAGTGCAATTTAACATATAAACATGGGTAAAGTGATTTTACTTTTTGCTTATCAGAAAACAAAATCGGATTTTTAAAGAAATCTAAAGAACCTGAAAAGAGCAAAGAAAAAATATTTATATCTGAGCAGTGAACACCTTATAATTTACACCTATATATATATATATATATATATATATATATATATATATATATATATATATATATATATATATGTGTGTGTGTGTGTGTGTGTGTGTGTGTGTGTGTGTGTGTGGTAGATTAAGCTGTTTTTTTTTGTTTAGTTTTGTGTTGTACAATGAATCAAATGTGCTCAGACGGGCAAAATTTCTGCCTTTTTTCCTTTAAAGGCATGGAAAATAATTGTTTTTACAATAAACCTTTGGAAACACTTGATGTTCTTTAATATTGAAACAATTACGAATACATTTGTATTATTAGAGTTGCATATTGCATATTATATATAGATTTTGCACGAATTCTATTGTGGAAAACAACAATCTGGTTACACTGTTCCTTATCTTAAAATGTATATATTGTTCTAATGCATGACCAACGTTATATGTGAGAAAAATATGTTTTTAATAAATGAACTTGATGTAATTAGATAACGTCGCTAGTTTACAGTACATGCTTTATCAACAAATCGTCTTTATTTGTTTACTTTTTACTTACCTTGTGGAAAACCGCAGTGAACCTTGGGATCGCAATGAACCTTGGGATAGCGAGCATAGACTGTAAAAAATAGATCGCCACATACAATGACCCCAACTTCAATAAATAATTTAAAATGAAAAAGATAGGCGAAAACATTTTTAAACTTAGTACTTGAAATGTAATATTTTTTAAAGTAAAAAAATAATAAATAATATGAATGAATCAAAGTTTTATTAGGCATAGTTATCCTAAACTGGACAACCGAATATATATTTCACTCATTAAATATAAAGTAAATGATAACATATTTATAAACACCAACTAATCTCCAATAAAAATACATTATGCAGCATTAACATACTATTTAATGTTGACAGTTGAACTCATCTGAGAACTCACCGCTGATGCAGTTTGACCAATAGCAGAGCGGCGTTAAACTCACCGTGAAGGGATGTCACGTGGACCGAAGTTTATTCATACAGTAGTTTCGACCCAGTTTACAGACGCTTTTCATGAACAAAATAAAAAATTACATATTTTTAAAATAAGAAAACTGCGATAATAGGCGTAAATCAGGTTTTAAAAAGTGCGTTGACATCTATTGGTAATTATACGAGCCTCCAGCGTCTCCCTATGACGCCTCGGGCTCAGGCACAGATTATATAGGGAATCCCTGCACGTCTAAATATGACGCTAAAGGGGTACCCTGTGCGTCAATACCCTACGCCGAGGGTTCCTGACCAAGCGTCAGTATGTGACGAGTTGGGAGTGAGAATGTGTTGGTTTATCCGTTAGGAAAATTGACCGAATTGCAGTCTTGGTTCATCTGTTATTTCTCATTATAATGTAAAGCCTATAATGCACATTTTTAGGCAACAGCTATGTATGAGAAAGTTTTACCTCTGATTTATATTTGTTGACAATGTCTGTGGGTGTCACCATTTAAAATTAAAGCACAGCTTTTGCTTATAATGTCTTATTGCTCATCGTCATAAATTAAATAGGGAAGAAAAATAAACCTAAACCATGGAATTCTGACCAATGTGAGGAGAGTTTAAAAGCAAACTGCACCAAGAACAATTTCAATCACTGTTTATAACAAAACAATCAATCTACAGGTGAAAGCCCCCTTACTGCTGATTACAGAACCGGCTTTACTGATAAAATATGATTAATCATTGAGCTCTATTTCAAAATTACTTATTTCTTTTAGAAAGAAACTATCTACATTTATTATGCACTTACATCTTTAAAGATTTGGAGACCTCTTACATTCACAAATTGCTAAACAACACACTACATGAGAAGTGATATCCGAAAAAACACTCTCTTCTGACACCTTCCATAGCAAAACACACACTGAGGTGTGCTGAAATTGGTAAGGAGAGCGTTGAAAGGGACAGGGGTAGACTTGGGGTCATTTAGAAAAAGGGCTGGTGTTTTCGCACTCAGATCTCCTAAAGCATCAGGACAGGTAAAAGACTGAGGTCTCACAGGTGACAGTCTTTCCAGAGCCCAGCGCTAAAGTACAGCTGCCGCCAGTATGTTGAACCTGACCTACAGGGTCACTGCAGGGGTAAGAAGAAGCACCATACAACCCATTAACCACACCGATGCTGGAACATGAGTTCAGGAAAACACACATGTCGATCTCTGCTTCTCTTTTACTTTAATGCATCCATTCTGTCAATGTCTGGATGAAAAGGTCACTAATGATCTATTTAAATGCACAAATACACCTAATAACCGTGTGCGATTCCCACCAGAGGCACTCCAATGAGTTTGTTTATTACATACATACATCAGGGAAGCTCTTGTTAGCGCTGTCAGAGTGTTTTAAGTTCATCAGCACTCTTAAGTTGCATTTTTTTTAAAGGATAATGGACAAGTGAACTGTCAGATGGAGAAGAAAAAAAGATGTGGCATTATTTTCCACCAAAGTATGAATTGCAAATAAATTTCCTTTGATTTTACTTGCATTCAGTTATATTCAGCTAACAGATATAATAAATACAATTTGAAAAACTACTTCGGTAAGCTTCTTCATACTTTTTGAAGGCAAAATTTCTGCGAGGAGAGTCATAATTAGCTGAAATGTGTGACTGGTGTGAAAATAAATCATCATTATTTATTGCACCCCAAGCACAAGTTTGAATGTCTGTTTAATATAATTAATGGCCATGAGATTGAAGAAAATGTAAAAATGCAATGAGTACACTGTAATAAATGTTGGGTTCCACAACATGAACCCAACAGCATCCAGTTAACTTTTTACAAATTTAAGTGGATTGAACATCAAACTATTTTTCTCCCAAAAAAACTCAAGAATTGCATTGTTTCAGCTCATTTTAAATAAGTAGTTTAAACAAACAGCAAACGTCATTTACAGTAAAAAATGTAGGGTTCCACACAATCGATTTGTGGTGGGACAATATAAAGGGTTTAAGTTAACTTATTAGTTTTTACAAATTTTAAGTGGATTGAATATAAAACAATGAAGTTGTCTCCTAATAAACTTGTGTTGTTTTAGCTAATTTTAAATAAGTAATTTGAGCAAACAACGAGCATCAAAAACACAAGTGTTTTTTGAGTGTATTTTTAGAGTTTAAATAAAATTGCAAGAAGTGAAACAGTTTTTTAAAATTGTTTAAATTGTATTGTTTTTTTTTTCAGTTTATTTATGACAATTTTCATTTGTATAATGTTATTATTAGTAGCAGTATTACTACTTTTTACATGCATATTTGTTTTTGTTTTAATAAATGCAAGTTTAGATGTGTCCAACTGTTCAGTTTTGGATATGTATGCATCACCATATGGGACATAAGAACAGGACGTGTGTTAGGATATAACTTTACCACACTTCATTATTATTGTTGATTTATTAGTTTGTTGGAAACATTAATTAATTAATTCATTCATTCATTCATTTTCTTTTTGGCTTAGTCCTTTTATTAATCTGGGGCCGCCACAGCAGAATGAACCGCCAACTAATCCAGCATATGTTTTACGCAACGAAGGCCCTTCTAGCTGCAATCCATCACTGGGAAACATCCATTCACACTCATACACTGTTGGCAATTTAGCTTACCCAATTCACCTGTACCAAATATCTTTGGTATAGATGGGGGAAACCGGAGCACCCGGAGGAAACCCACGCAAACTTGTGGAGAACATGCAATCTTCACACACAAATGCCAACTGGTCCAGCCGGGGCTCCAACCAGCAACCTTCTTGCTGTGAGGTGATTGTGCTACCAACTGTGCCACCGGGCTGCCTCTTGCGCTTAACAAACAAATTTAAATAT